AGGGTAAAAATACATACCTTGGGAAAAAAATTTCAGAAAAATCTGATCGTTTTTACTAAACTAGAGTTAAGCCAACCGGATATCGTTAAGCCAGTGGGTTTCAATTGTCATTCCTTTGCATATATGTCAAATAAATCCTCATAAATTAGGTTATCTAATGTATATGCCGTTTTAAACAATATTTTTATAAATTCCAGGTTTTGGAACAACTCTAGTTTAGTAAAAAATATCAGATTTTTCTGAAAATTGTTTTTCACCCTAATTATGGGAATATCTTTTTTTCTTGGGGGACGTACCCGTTTTTTGGGTTATTTACCGGTTCTACGGATCCGGTAAATAACTTTCCATTCAGTGGTTATCTCAAACCGTTTTGGAGATACAATGAAAGAACTGGGTTTTAGACCCCTATTTTTTGAAAAACTCCGTAAAAGTCGAACTTTTTAAAATTATACCCATTCTATATTAATGGAGAAAGTCAAATCTGTACCTTAGCTGCGGATGGAGACATGGCTCTGAACATTATAACTTTAAATATTACGTGAGCCTGGAAGTAGAGTAGTTAATAAGAAAAAAATATTTTTATAAATGCTGGGTTATTGATATCCTCTTGATAGCCTAACGGACCATAAAAACGTTTAAAATAGTGGGATCTAATGGTCCTTTTTTGATTTTGTTTTTTTAAGGTAGGATATATTAAAAGTATCTGTAGTTTCTAAAAAATCCAGTCCAAGAAGGTCAAAAATTGTAGAAAATCAACATATTAGCTTTCTATTATTCGAAAATGCAAAGAACAATCATAGTAGCTTATGCATCATCATAGAAGACTGTCAGAAACTAACTTCTCCGATAGTCTTCTATAATAGGTTATGGGCGAACAACGGCAATTCCGGGTTACTATTCATTTTGAGAATTTGAATCTGGAGATTGTCCAACGGAAAATACTGCAAAACAATAATTGCTAAATAATTTATATTTATAAATATTTTGAAGTTCTCTACTTCTAAATCGTATAAAAATAAGATGTACCAACCATGGTTAAATCTTGAGAGCAATGTTCAGCTTTAGAAAATATATCTTGTTTAATTTATTGAAAATTTTTATATACATATATAGAGATATGCCAATCGAAATACATAAAATTGTAGGGAATTTATTTTTCATATTGTTTAAAATTGATAGATGAGTTTCAAATTAAAAAGTGTTGTCATCATCAAATTCTCAAATGACACTACCTTCTGTAATTATGCCATGGAGAATCTGTAGCGGGACACCTAATGAAATTTGAACATTTAATTAGAAATCTAAATATGGCTGGTGGTGAAGTTGGATCAAGCGACTTAATAACACAACTTTTTATGGCATTAAAGTTCCCTGAAGACCAGGGAAGTTCGATCCATTAATAACAGCTTTACAATATTTGAATGAATCAAAATTGACTTACAATATGGTAAAAGATCGACTTCTTTTGGAAAAAGAAATTGAGAATTGCTCACCGTTCAGAAGGGGAACATTTTGCAACAAAAACAGCTTTTGAAGATAAAAAGAAATTTAAAAGAAAACGTCAAGGTCGTTGTCATATATGCAACAAGCAAAGGATTGCCGTAAAGGTGGGACCAGAAGCGCATTAAAAAGACAACGGACAGAGCCACATCCCTATCTTCCTAAGGTTGAACAATATGCAATTGTATACCATTGAAGAAAAAATATTTTTGTCTGTATGGAAAAAAAGTCCGTCACTACAAGAAAAATCTGCTCTGAAAAGGAATGTTCTGGTGTGATGACAAATGTCCGAACCCTGACACGGTTGAATTTAATTCGTAGATGCAATTTCGCAACAATATTCGAAATTCAGATTCATATAATAGTAAGTCTTGCTATTAATTTATGATTGATTCTGGAGCAAACGACCATTTAATCAACGAGAAATAGTACTTCGAACCCTTGACAAAGGGGAAAAGTGCCGAGGAAATTAAAATAGCTAAAGATGACCAATATCTGACTGCCACCCACAAAGGCACAATAAAAAGATCTTGTAACAGACATTTTTACATGGTATTGAAAGATGTTTTATAAGTACCAGAGCTAAGAGACAACTAATTGTCTGCGAAAAAGATGACATCAGCGGGCATTGAAGTCAGTTTTGTCCTAAATAAGACATTTATAATGAGGGGGAATGAATATATCGGAATCGCATACTAACGTGGAGGAGACCAATTTTGCCATTAAATATTATGTTGTAAATTATTCTAATGCTGAAAAGAATCAATAGTGGCATAAGATATAACTATCGAGGGAGTAACCGATTTCAACCAAACTTTGGACATCGTAATATTTCTGCCAAACTTATAGCCTAGACAGACGACTGCCTTAATTTGAATTAACAGCCTTAATTCAAATTAACTTGTACATTATCCTCATTTTTAATGCACAAAATCAAACTGAATTTATACTGAATTAACCAATTTCAATATGGCAATGCTGTCGAAAATCAATTAATTGTTGTCAAATTTGTTTACGTTTACAAAAATAAAAATTATAAATAAAGGCGAATTTCAACATTCTTTCAAATTGGGAGCTATTTTGCAACATCGTAGCTGCTATTCTTCCTTCATGCCATGTATGTATTCCTAAAGATCCAATCCCGAAAAATATTGGAAACGAATGCCAACATCTTCAACATCTACATACAGACAAACAATTGTTTTGAATCAAAAAAATTGTTTTGTAAATGCAGAAACTCTCGTCTGTCAGGGGTAAATATTAATTCAAATTAAGAATTTTTTAATGCAAATTAAGGCTGTCGTCTGTCTATGGTATTAGATCAAACTCGAATTACCTTCCCCAAAAAATGATTCGAATACCCTGTTGTTGCCTTAAAAAATCTATGTATACATTCCCTACTGCTCATTATTTTTATTTCTGCTAATCAAGTGATATTGAATAGCAACAGAAAAAAGAAACAACAATAAAAAATAAACATTCGCTAGGGTGTTAAAATTTATTGTCACAATTAAGTCGTCATATAAATTAATATCAATTAACCTGTGTTGACAATATAAAATTTTGTTATCTCTACTAGATTTGATTCTAAAAAAAAACATTGACACATTTTTAAAAGGCGTGTCAATTGGATGAAATGAATTTCCATAATTTGAAAAAAAAAGAATTAGTTTATCTAGATTCCTGGACGATACGTTACTTGTTACGGGAATAACTTCGCATATTATTTTTTTAATAAAATTATTTTTCCTAAGGTAGCCAACAACGTATCTTATTTCATCCATTGACTCACATCCTGAGAGGAAATTGGAAAACAGTAATTGTTAGAGTATTTTGGCTCTCATTCCAATTTTTTTTCTTGAGAGCAAGTAAATTTCCGATTATTCTCATTACGTGATATTTTTGTTTGGACTTCAAGGTTGTATCATTTGTCAAGCGGCACATACCGCCACCAGTATATACACCAGTCCATGCACATAGCAATATCTAAGTGCAACACACAACGTTATCCATTAATTTATTTATTATCCGGCTGACTAGATTTGTTTATTATAAATAAACTGCCAGAAATGTCTAGCGGCATGAGAAGCCAATAGTCGGTTGAAGAAGATTGACTCAAGAAAAATATCAAAATTTATAAAAGTAAATAAAAATAAATAATAAAAAATATATTTTTTTGTTCTAATAAAATTCCAGGATTCATCCAAAAGTAAAAGCAAGACATAAAAAACATAAATTGAAAGATAAACCTCTGGCGAAACAAAGGGTCTAAATTTGAAAATTTTTTTGAATCTAATAGGATCTGCAGGAAAAAGAGAGGTTTAGTTTGGAATTTCCAACGTCATCTGGAAGATGTAGACTTTGCTGACGACATTTGTCCCATGTCACACAAGTTCGTCGACATGCAAGGGAAATTGAACGACATCGGTCTTGAAATAAATATAAAAAAGACACAAGCCATGCGTGTAAACAACACATCTGAAAACCACTTAAAGACTGGCAACAACGAACCCCTGAAATACGTAAAATCCTTCTAATACCTAGGGTTTTTCATGGGATGGAGGAATTGAAGATGATGTTAAGAATAGACTCAACAAAGCCAGGCTCTCTCCGGACAAAATTATACATATTCAATGCATGTGTTTAATCTACACTACTAAACGGAAGTGAAACTTGTATGTTATCAAAATCAATTGTTCAGACACTCCAAGTCTTCATAAACATATGTCTGTGTATTATTTGCCGAATATTTTGGCTGAACACAATATCAAATATGGAACTGTGGAATAAAACGAATTAAGTACCCACTGAACAGCAAATTACAAAAAGAAAATGAAAATGGATAGGCCACACACTCAGAAAAGGTCCTGAAAGCATAGACAAAGCCGCACTGGAATTGGAATCCTCAAGGCTCCAGAAGATCTGACCGTCCTAGAAATGCGTGGCGCAGAACTATTGCTCTAGAAATAATAAAAATTAACAAAACATGGGAAGAGATTAAAACCATTAGTTATAAAAGAATAGAATGGCATTTTCTTGCAAATGCCCTTTGTTCCCAAGGGGAATGAATAAAGGGGGGGGGGGGGAATATAAAAAATCCAAATTTACTCCAACATTTTATATCGTAATATTTTTGCTCAATCAATGCGAATGGTATACTATATCGACTCATTTTCCTAGTTTTTTTCCAGATCTCAAAACTTTGTTGACATTGTATCTAACCGCATAACGCCTCAAGTATCCGAAATTTTGTTTTCTTTAGATCTCAAAAATATCTTCACATTACTGCCCCCCTATTAATGATCATCACTAATCCCAATATTTTTTTCTTATTTACAGGTTTAGAAATAAATCCATGACAAGAACTACTCACCTGTAGAATATATTGAAAATTTCATAAGAATTTCTTCTGTCCCACCGAGTTCTAAATTTGTGAATTGAATCTTACAAAACAAAGCCATCTAAGATCTCTTGAGCGAAAAAATACTAAGAAGCAAATTATGACAACCAATTATGTGATATTTGACTGTGATGGTGGCAGTGATGATGCCTGGGCATTATTGTTGCTACTGAAAGCGGAAGCCGAGAAACAATTGGTCTTACTTGGCATTACAATATGTGGTAGTGGTAATACCACATTACACAATGCCGCCTATAATATGCTGAGGATACTGAAGGCATGCGGTCGTGATGAGGTAAGTACATGAAACAAATGCGTATACAAATGGCGACTTTTGGAGTTCGATGGAAAGATCTCAAGATATCTTATGAGAAAAAAAGAATGGTCTAAAGACCTAGGTAGGCCTATTCTGTAACATTTTAACAAAAAAAAAAAAAAAAAAAATTCTATATATCTAAACTAAAGGTTTTTTATTGGAATTTTAAATCTTTTTGTAATTGGTTTTATTTTCTTTTAGATCCCCATCTTTTTGGGTGCATCGGATTCGTTGTTGCCACCTTTCGATAAGGAAGAGAGACCGGTTTTTCATGGTAAAGATGGATTTGGTGATGTCTTGCCACAGGATGAAGATATAGATGTCCATGAAATGGTCGAAGGAGAACATGCTGTGGCGGCGATACATCAATTTTGTATAGAGGTAGGTGCAGGATCCAACTATAGCGCAAGCAAAATCGGGTCTACGATCAGAAACGACCCAAGTTACTATGTCATAAACGGCATACACATTATAACTTTTTTACTGAGTTAACCTACTCTATGAAGATTTATTTGACATATATGCAACGAAATCCAGTACAATGTACTTACTTAGCTGGCTTATGACAGAAGGTTGTTCCATAAGCCGAGCTTAAACGAGATTTTAAGGCGCGTCGGCCTTGTGTGCATCTCATCCAATTTGAAAGACCATTTTCCGAGACGTTGTATTCTACATGATCTTTCCATCGGATCCGTGAACATCCCCTTCCTGCGCGAACCATTACTTGGCTCGCTTTTATATGCCTTTTGAGCTGGGGCATCTTCATTCATTCTCACAAGATGGCCTGCCAACGTAGTCGCTGCAGCTCGATCCATCTGACTATGTCGATGTCCGAGAATAGATAGTATAGATCATGGTTCATTAGACGACGATATTCACCATCGAGGCAGATCGGCCCATAGATCTTACAGAAAATTTTTCTTTCAAACACTCTAAAAGCTGCCTCATCTGCTTGTGCATGTATCCATGCTTCAGATCCATACAACAGCACGGGTAATATCAGCGTCTTATAGAGAGTGAGATTGGTCTGGCGAGAAGTGGCCTTGCTTTTGAGTTGCTTACTCAGACCATAGTAGCATCTGTTAGCCAACACTATTCTCTTCGGGATTTCAAAGCTGATTCACATTAGTAGGAATTTCCAAAACTTCCTAAATAGCTCCAATGATCCTAACTCCAAATGTCAAGGTATCAGCTCTATCGGCTCACTCAAATCCAAATAGTACCAATTATAGTACGATTTAGTACTTTTCGTACACAAAGGTAATAAATTTCCAAGAATACGAACGCTTTTCGATCCTACACTCCGGCAGCAATGTTGATTTCAAATTTCAGGATTCCAGCTCCATTTGTACATTCAATAAAAAATTGTACCAAATTTAGTACAGTTGAGTACTTTCGGTATACATGAGTTCACGCTTTCAAAACCACCTCCTTATACTACGACCCTACTTCTCAATCTTAAATCGTATTCCAAATTTAATTTTTTTTAGCTCTATCCATTCACAAGGTACGAAATTGTACAGAATTTAGTACATCTTTGTACTAAATTTTGTACAACCAACCAGTGATCCTCATTTCAAATTTAAGAATTCTAGCTCTATCGGTTCGCCAAATACAAAGAGCACCGCATTTAGTACTTTTCGTATCGTTCTAGTACGGATTTCTAAAAACCCAGCCTTATCGGTCACCGTTGGACCAAGAATGGCCTAACTAACCTCCAAAATAGTCCTTTATATGGAACGTATAAACAAAAAGGGCCTATTTTCATTTTTTTTCATTCACCGAGTATCTTGACTTCGCCGAAAATGGGACATTGAATACTTCGATCATTGTATTGATTTCTACATGCAAATGGACGGACGGACCTAACTAAATCAACATATCATTTTATTATGTCGTGGTCTCCAAGAAATATTTCAATCTGTTCCAAAATAAATAATAAAATTTATACCTTATGGTGGAGTTTATAAAAAACTGCAATATTTAAGAAAGAAACCTATCTTGGGTCTTGGTTGTGTGTTATTCCAATTATAAAATTAGGTTAATATAGAAATACCTCCTCAATTTTTTCAATTTTTAATATTTTTTTTTTTATTTTCAGAATCCGAAACAGGTTACCGTAATAGCTGTGGGACCACTTACCAACATTGCCTTGTGCTACTCCATGTATGGCAGGGATTTTTCGGAAAATATTAAGGAGCTGTACATTATGGGTGGAAATCATCAAGGTGAGTAAAAAAAGACTTCATATAAACCCAATTAAATATTTAAAAATATATATTCCCTAAATTTCAGGTGTTGGCAATTACACCAGAGCTGCCGAATTTAATTTCTATTCAGATCCAGAGGCTGCCCACATTGTGCTAAGCAAAAGCAAATGTCCCATAACCATTTTGCCATGGGAACCATGTATGGATGATAAATTCTTTATATGTATTGTGAGTATAAATAAAACGCAGATTTGGAACACATATACTTGTCCTCGAAAACCATAATAATTTGGAGTAGTCCATGTAATGATGTTTTTGGAATCGCTCATGGCCCTTTGGGCTAGGTTCTAGTTTATGAAATAAATTGAATTGCGAAAAATTATTTTCCAAAAATCCCTCTTTTTCAGAAATGGCGTTTGGAACATTTCGGCCCTATGGCTGCACGAGAAAATCATGCCGTTGAATTGCTAAATTGCGTTGAGGCATCACAGTATTTAAAACCCGGTTTTAAAGGTTGGAATCCATGTGATGCCATATTGGTTGCCGCCTTCCTGTTCAAGTCTCGTTTGGTGCGTAAACAAAGTTTATGGCATTGTATTGTGGATTTGAGTGGTCACACTCGTGGTCAAATGGTACTCGACCATTTGCAGGAGGTGGATAAGAATCCGAAAAATGTACGCATTATAGAATTAGTAGAAGCGGAATTCTTTAAAAGTGCCGCTGAATGGGGTGCCGGTTTGAGAGAATTCAAATTGAGTATATTTACGGAGGAGCCGGCCATAGATGTTGGGAAAACAGAAATTAAAACTGAAAATGGTAATTGTAGTTGATTTGATTTGATGTGACTTGATCATTCAGGATTGTTAATATGGATAACCATTTCCCGACTTCTTTTTTAATTCATGACAAAGATTTAACAACATTTACTACTACATATTATTATACATACTTTCAATTATAATTATTTTTAAGTTATATTGTGTACATACTTTCAATGTTTATATGTATTGCATTTAAGATATATTATATTTATAGCTTAAGACCTCATCTTTAACCGATTTGACTAATTGTGTTTACCAAAGAAAAATTAGATCATTCTATTTTTCAAATTTTACGTGAATAACAAATAATTACGGCATACACAGAATCTTATTCACCTCCATAAGTATTAAAAAAAATTCTTTAAATCTACAATATTAAGACACATAAAATGAGGTCTTAGCCCTATATATACTACTATATTATAAAGTATTATTTGAAAAATAAAACGAACATGACGACACATGACAAAAACAATTTGACGATGTGTTTTAAACAGTACCATATTTAGTACCAGTTTGTACAATTTTGTAAAAATTTCCAAAACTTCTTACATACCCCCCAATCCTACACCTAAACAGTAAACCTAACTCAAAATTTCAGGATTCCAGATCAATGGTTTCAACCAAAATTCAAACTGCACCAAATTTAGTACACATAAGTACGAATTCAAATTGTACCAAATTTAGTACACATAAGTACGAATTTCCCAAACTACTAACATATTTCAATTCTACAATGCAGTAGTAATCTTATTTTCCAATTTCAGTGTTCCAGCGCTATCGGTTCACCCAAATCCAAATTGTACCAAATGTAGTACCATTTAGTACAAATTTGTAAAAATTTCCAAAACATCCTACATACCCCAATCCAAATGTCAGAATTCCAGCTCTATTGGTTCACCCAAAATTCAAATTGTACCAAATTTAGTACACATAAGTACGAATTTCCCAAACTGTCAGCATATCTAAATTATACAAGGCAGTAGTAATCTTATTTCCAAATGTCAGTGTTTCAGCTCTATCGGTACACCTTAATCCTAATTGTACCAAATTTAGTACACATTTGTTAATAATTCCAAAACTTCCTAATTCCAAAATACCCTAATCCTACACCCCTACAGTGAACCTAACTCCAAATTTCAGGATTCCAACTCTATTGGTTCATCCAAAATTCAAATTGTACCAAATTTAGTACAAATTGTACCAAATCCAAATTGTACTAAATGTAGTACATTTTAGTACCTTTCGTATAAATAGGTACAAATTTCCAAAACTACCTACATACCGCTATTCTACATTCCGACGGTATTTCTGGACTCCAGCTTCCTCCGTTTCTCCAAATTTAAATTGTACAACTTTAGTACAGTTTTGTACTTTTCGTATACGTGAGTACACGATTTCAAAACCTCCTCCTCCATATACCGACCTACTGCTCAACCTAAATTCACATTCCAAATTTCACATGCTAGAAAATTGTACCAAATTTATTACATTTTAGTACTTTTCGGATACTTATAGTTCGAATTTCAAAAAATCCAAATTTTAGTGTTGCAGCTCTTTCGGTTCACCCAAATCCAAATTGTACCAATTATAGTACCACTTAGTACATTTCCAAAACTACCTACATATCGCTATCCTACACTCATCCGTGTCTCAAAATTCAAATTGTGCAATATTTAATACAGTTTAGTACTTTTCGTATACGTGAGTACACACTTTTTAAACCTCCTCCTTATATCGACCCTATTGCTCAACCTAAAATCGCATTCCAAATGTCAAGTTTTTAGCTCTATCCATTCACAAAAAGTGACCCTCACCCCAATTATCAATATTGTTACGAAAATAACTTTAGATTTAAGATTAATTTAGATGAATTCCGTTAATTTAAGAATTTGAATTGTAACGTAATTTCTACTACGCAGTTTATTCGAATAACTTCACAACAACAACTGTATAGATTTTTCTACATCCTTCCATTTTCTATTTTGTTATTGTCGTACAATTCTTGTTAAACGTCATCATTGATGATCGCTTAATTCCTCTTTCTTTGTTACCCCCTCGCCTGTATATGTGTTGTTGTTATTGTTTACTCAATGTAAGTTTGTATGTGTTGTTGTTATTGTTCACTCAATGTAAGTTTGTATGTGTTGTTGTTATTGTTCACTCAATGTAAGTTTGTATGTGTGTTGCATTGGTAGATTGTTCGTGATCTAGGTGTTACCAGATCGTCTAGAAACTTCTGTAGCGACAAGCAAGGCTCATATAAATAGGGGAAATGGAAAGGCAGTTAGTGAGTTGTGAATCAGATCGCGAATTGAAACCGTCGCGTAAAGTAAAGTGCAAAGTAAAGTTGTGTGAATAAAGTCATTGTAATAATCGTAATCTGAAAGAACCCGCGTTTTATTTGATACGAACTGTATCGGGAAATAAAACAACGTCTACACGGGATTAAGTAAAATCCAAGAACGTAACAATTGGTGTCGGAAGTGAGATTACGATAATACTACGATGAAGTTTAAGGATCTACGAGTGGAAGACTTGTAGAAGGAGCTGAATAAATTGGAATTGTCCTCTACTGGCAACAAGGCTGAGCTACAAAAACGTCTGTTGGATGAGTTCGAGCGCCGTGGTATGAACATCGATACATATGAGTTTGACAGTAAGGATGGAGTGGATTTATCGGAAATGGGCGAATCCAACGGTGGGGAAGTCTCGTCAGTAGCTGCCAGGGGTGACGATTTCAGAGAAATGCTGGCTAAAATGTTCGAAGAGAATTCCAGAAAATTAGAAGAAAACTCGAGACGAATGTTCGAAGAGAATTCCAGAAACTTAGAAGAAAACACGAGACGAATGTTCGAAGAAAATTCGAGAATAACGAACGAGAAAATCGAGTACATTACAGAAGTTATTGGAAAAAGAGTGGAAACTGTGGAGGTCCAAATTAAAGATTTGGATAAGAAAGTGCAGTCGGTTGACGAGAAATTTCTGGCCCACTTCCACAGGTTTACGAATCTGGAGAAGAAAATTTCGGAACTGGAAATTAAAGGTGGTCCGGTGCGAGTTCCTGATAACGCACTAAAAATCAAACCTCCTGTATTCGACGGCTCAAGTTACAGTTCGAGACAGTGGCTTCTAGAAATTCGTGGAACGACAGCGACAAAGCGGTTGCACTACTTCTGGCATTGAAGGGCAGTGCTGCTGATGTTATACAGAGTATTCCTGTCGCTTCTAGGAACAACTATGAAGATGTTATTGCTGCACTGGAACGTAAGTACGGTGGCGAACATAAACAAAACATCTACCTTATGGAACTAAGGGGAAGAGTGCAGAGGGCAAACGAGACGTTGCAAGACTTTGCAGCTGAGGTGGAACGTTTGGTGCTAATGGCGTATCCAGGAGAGAATCACCCATTGGTGGACCGTATTAAAATCGAAACCTTTGTGAATGGCATACGTGACCCTGAGATTAAATGTGCAACATATGCGTCACCAAAAGCGTCATTTGCCGAAACCGTGTCGTTTGCCCTTGCCCAAGAGATGGCAAGAATAATTGTTAAGCCCCAGACCCACAAGATTCGCCAACTGGAGACCGAATGCTGCGAACACAAATCTCTCGTTAACTTGATCAAGGACGCCATGAGGCGGGTAATAGAAGAAACAAAGTTAGTAGGGATGACTAAGCCCAGGGTTAGATGCTACAACTGCGATAAAGCAGGTCATATTGCGCGCGAATGCAGAGCTAAGCGCAAACGATCCAGGTCATCGTCACCACCTCTAACGAAAGATGGTAGAAGAATGGCTCAACAGTCCACCAATGAGTCACCGTTAAACAGGATCGAGCACAGAGAAGGCGGAAAACACGATAATGCTGATGCCCTGTCTCGTCGGCCATGCAAGGCAGAATACAGGCACTGCTCAAAGGCTGAGTGCAAAGAGAATATCGTTGATGTCCGACGATTGCAGTTTGAGTCGGGTGAAGATTGGTCGACGGAACAACGAAGAGATCCCATTCTGGGCAAAATAATTTCGGCCATGGAAACGGGCAAGCGACCTGGTCGCAAAGAAATTACCTCCGAAAGCCCTCTTTTAAAATCCTATTGGGCCCAGTGGGACAGTCTGCTTATAAAAGATGGTTGCCTATATCGCAAATGGGAAAGTGAGGACGGTAAATCTCACCGGAATTTAATCGTCGTCCCAGACTCCAAAATAAGAGATGTCTTGTCGGAGTTTCACGATGGGCCAAGTGGAGGACATCTTGGCATAGCAAAGACGGCTGAAAAGGTAAAGCAGAGATTCTACTGGGTCGGCTGTCAAAAATCCATTGCCGACTGGATCGCCAATTGTGAAAGGTGCATAAGAGTCCAACACGGAAGAGTCGAGGCTACATGCAGCAGTATAATTCAGGAGCCCCTTTTGAAAGAATCGCAATGGATGTAGCTGGACCGTTCCCCACAAGCGACTCTGGGAACCGGTATGTCTTAGTGGTCATGGATTACTTCAGTAAATGGCCAGAGGTTTATGCTATCCCAAATCAAGAAGCCAGGACAATTGTGGATGTGTTCAGCAAAAATTGGATTTGTCGCTATGGTGTTCCATCGGAGGTTCATTCCGATCAAGGTAGGAACTTTGAATCAGCGATCTTCAAGGAAATGTGTGACTCCTACGGAATCAAGAAAACCAGAACGACGCCTCTACATCCACAATCAGATGGCATGGTGGAAAGATTCAATCGTACCCTGGAAGAACATCTACGGAAAGTGGTGGACAGTGGCCAACGAGACTGGGATGAGCATATTCCAAAGTTTTTACTGGCTTATGATCGGCCATTCATGATTCCACATCCCGGACCCCAGCCAAAGTTCTGTTCGGAAATGAATTAAAGCTACCTGGCGATTTGATATTCGGTGCTACCCCAAACGACGATGTGAACCAAGAAGAAGACAGTCAGAACTCTTTTAGTAAAATCCACGATGCAGTTCGCCATCGAATAAAAATGGTTAGCAACCGCATGAAGGCAAGGTACGATCGAGCGGCAAATACCGATGGGTTCCAAGAAGGGCAACTGGTACTATTGTTCAACCCACAACGAAAAAAAGGACTATGCCCCAAATTGCAAACGCACTGGGAAGGACCCTACAAGATTGTCACGAAAATAAATGACGTCGTTTATCGCATCCAGAGGAGCGACAGTCCCAGGTCGAAGATGAAAGTTGTACATTTGGAGCGGCTGGCCCCCTACGGAACGGGAACTGTGCCTATTCGGGACGAACAGGCTTAAGCGGGGGGCAATGTTACGAAAATAACTTTAGATTTAAGATTAATTTAGATGAATTCCGTTAATTTAAGAATTTGAATTGTAACGTAATTTCTACTACGCAGTTTATTCGAATAACTTCACAACAACAACTACTGTATAGATTTTTCTACATCCTTCCATTTCCTCTTCCATTTTCTATTTTGTTATTGTCGTACAATTCTTGTTAAACGTCATCATTGATGATCGCTTAATTCCTCTTTCTTTGTTACCCCCTCGCCTGTATATGTGTTGTTGTTATTGTTTACTCAATGTAAGTTTGTATGTGTTGTTGTTATTGTTTACTCAATGTAAGTTTGTATGTGTTGTTGTTATTGTTCACTCAATGTAAGTTTGTATGTGTTGTTGTTATTGTTCACTCAATGTAAGTTTGTATGTGTGTTGCATTGGTAGATTGTTCGTGATCTAGGTGTTACCAGATCGTCTAGAAACTTCTGTAGCGACAAGCAAGGCTCATATAAATAGGGGAAATGGAAAGGCAGTTAGTGAGTTGTGAATCAGATCGCGAATTGAAACCGTCGTATAAAGTAAAGTGCAAAGTAAAGTTGTGTGAATAAAGTCATTGTAATAATCGTAATCTGAAAGAACCCGCGTTTTATTTGATACGAACTGTATCGGGAAATAAAACAACGTCTACACGGGATTAAGTAAAATCCAAGAACGTAACAATATTCTAGTTTTAGCCATTTCGTCTGGGCGTTGATGAATCGACAGTGCGACACTAAATCATTGCTTTCAAAGTTGTTGCTTCCTCCGAGGTTCCGAGGTTCCGAGGCCTCCATTCCCTTTGAAAGCCGTTACCGCTGTTTGGAACTTTTCTCCCATTTCTTCATTGCATTTCTTTGTTTTTTTGCTTTCCAAAAAGTAGATTTTTTAAACAATTTCCACTGTTTTCTTTTCAGAATTATTATTGCCAGAAGGTAAGGCGATTTTTTTTTCATTAGTTATTTTTTTTTAACGAATCCTGCTTATCCAACTTCCAGGAAATAAGATTTAATATCGCTTTTATTCTTCTAACCTTTGCTATACATTTCTTTTGCTGTTACGATTCCCTAACTCACCTTCAAATTAACGGCTGCTCATGCATGCCCATGTTACCATATGATTGAGAGAGCGCTCTTCAATAATATGGCATTTCTCTTTAAGAAAAAGAAAAAAAAAACAACAAAACACATCAGCTGTTCAGTGTGTAAATGGCTACAAAAATAAAATAAACAATAAATGTCAGGGTGAAGTACACAATACAATAAAATAACAAAGCAAAACAAAAAGAAAACGACGGAAGCAATAATAACAACAATATACACTCACACACGCACTTACACTAAACAAAAAAAGCAAGAGCAGCCACGTCTGCTTGCTTGGCGTCGACGCAGAAGAGCCAGCATTGCCAAACGTCTGTCAAACAAAAACAAGAGCAGACACGTCTGCTTGCTTGGCGTCGACGCAGACAAGGCTACATTGCCAAACGACTATCAAAATCTAATAAGAAATCGAAGCAAACAGACACACAATCACTCTGTGTGTAGAGTGCTGCTGTAGGGACTGACGTTAACGTCTCTGCCGGCAGCAGATGTTATTGCTGCCCGTTGTCTCTGTTGTTTGCAGTGTGTTGTCCAATCAGTTGGTTTTAGAACGTTACGAACTGTCGTCTGGAGTAGTGGCCGTTAAAATTCGCATGTGTTAGCAACGCTGTGAAATTTCGTTGGCGTAAAGAAACGGAAACGCTGTAGTAGTGAATGTTTATGGACTATAGCAACATTGTTTTGGAAAAAATCATCGTTTTGTGTGTTTTGTTTTTATTCAAATTGGAATTTGTTTTAATCAATTTTCGGCAGTTCGTTTAAACAACACGAATATATTTTATTATTAGTTTACGTTAATATGCCCTCCTTACTGTTGTTGCTATTGGTGACGATGATGGTTTGAGGAAACCCTGTCTGGAGTTAAACGAAGAAATAAAAATTTGTTGTTGTTATTGTTTGAACATAGACGCTGTTGTGTTCGGTGGGGTTGGGGCCAGACGTAAGGCTCCCCGTTTTTCGTTTATAAACAAAACGAAGTGTATGAAAAAAGAAGAAGAAACATAACAACAAAACACCCAATCTAACGGTTACTAGAGTAAAACGGAGTGTGTGTAGAAGAAGGCTCGCGCGGTCGGTAGTGTTGCCTTCAACACGAAGTGTGCAGCAGGAAAGCAAACACATTACATTTACAACATTGCTGATTGTCGGTCGGTCGGTTGGTTCGTTGGTCGTTTTTTCGTTGTTGCATCAGTGGCAGGCAGTTGACTTTTCGTGTGTCGTATGCCAGTTGTGCTGCTGCTTCTCTTCCAAGTAGTTGCGGGCATAGCACTCTTCATATTTCTGCTGCATTATTTGTGTTACATTTTAAATGCCATTATACGCGACTTTTGCGAAACCCTAATAACAACGCGTGAATATTTGCAACATCACGATAGCGGACAGTCCCCCCTAAGCAACGCCTCTTCCACACGGTTGTGGTCGTCATCGACAACCAACCCCTTTGCTGCCTTCGATACGACTACCACCCCCGGAACATCTTTGCCTTCGTCATCCTCATCGTCGTTGTCGGGCAACTTCAACAGTACGCGCCGCCGTTCGTCATCGTCAGTTTCGTTGTCGTCGTCGCCCTTGTCATTTGCAAGTGAAAAATTTCTTGGTCGCCAGCAGGAAAGGAATTCAACGAAAATTCCCCACAAAATCCAAACGCAGCAAGAAAAAATCATGCAAAATTCAGATGATGCAAAGTTTATAAAAAAGTGAGTTCTCAAAAATTAAAAAAAAATACAATAAATAAAAAGGAAGGAATTGAAAACAAAATAATATTTCAAAATATCCCCAAGAAAATCAGTGCAAAAAAAAAAAACAACAACAAAAAAGTTCTCAACCGGTCAAAATTTTACAAGAAGTGTATTGTGAAGAAAAAAACAAGTGTCTTTAAAAAGAAAATTATTTCCAAATGTATTCAATATCAAGATCAATATTCAATATCAATGAAAACGAAAGTAAAAAAATTAAAAGCCCAGTGAAAATTATAAAAATTTTTGAAGAAAAATCAAAAAATTTTCATTTGTTAGTCATTTTCTTCGACTCATCTAATATTCAGTTTATATCGATTTTCCCCAAAAATTTTCTTCAATGTTGGTGTTTATTGTGTTTTTTTGGTATACGTATATACGAGAAGAAGAAGAACAAACAGTAGAAGAGAAGGAAAAGTTCTTTCTTCTTTGCCATTGTGTTGTATTTTGTTTTTCTTAACATTTTTCCGCGCACGCAGCCCAAAAGCCACCCAACGAATGACTGTGTGCAGACCTATATAAACAAACACACACACGCACACATACACTCAGCTGTGTGTATCCACCTTAGAAATGAAAAGCAAAGCAAAAAGGGGATGCAGTGTTGCCACAAGCAAGTGTATTTTTTGGGAAAATGTCGCCAATTTCGAAATAAAATGAAAATTAAAAAAAAAAAAATTAAAAGATTTGCCGGGATAACCTCCTCCACCAGGATTTTTTGGCATACCAACACTAATAACAGAGAAAAGTGATTGACTGACTGACTTAACGAATCTTCCATGCCCAGACGAAACAGCTGAAATTTAAAATTTTAGAGGGTCACTCTAGGTCCAAAGGTGACAGATAAGGCTGGAGTTTTGGGAATTAGTACTTTTTATGCTGTTCTAGTACGAATTCACAAAACCGATAGAGTTGGAACACTAACATTTTGATTTTGGAAATTCTAACTACAAGTATTCGAAAAGTACTAAAATGTACTAAATTTGGTACAATTGCGTAGCGCGTGAATTTTTGAGAGCTAAAAACTTGAAATTTTTAATGCAAATCTAGTTTGAGAAGGAAGGTCGATTTAAAAGGTGGTTTTGGAGGTGTGTACTCATGTATACGAAAAGTACTAAACAGTACTAAATTTGGTACAATTTGAATTTGGAGAAACATTACCGTCGGAGTGTAGGGTAGCGATATGTATGTAGTTTTGGAAATTTTCTACTTATGTGCAGGCAAAATACCAAATCGTACTATAATTGGTACAATTTTGATTTGGGTAAACCGAAGAATTGGAACACTGAAATTTGAAAATAAAGAGTGTAGGATTGGGGTATGTATGTAGTTTTTGGAAATTCATACTTATGGGCACTAAATTTCGTACTATTGGAATTTTGGAAGAACCGATAGAGCAGGAATCTTGAAATTTTGAGTAAGGATCGATGTTGTGATGTAGGATTTGAAATGTATACTATATGGTACTAAATTTGGTACAATTTTATTTGGGTAAACCGATAGAGCTGGAAAACTGAAATTTGGAAAAAAGGAGTGTAGGATTAGGGTATGAATGCAGTTTTGGAAATTCGTACTTATGGGTACTAAATTTGAATTTTGGAAGAACCGAAACGAGAGCGGGAATCCTGAAATTTGAAGTTAGGATCACTGTAGGAAGTTATGGAAATTCTTACTAATGTGTACTATTTAGTACAATTTGGATGTAGGATCATTGTCGGGTAGGTAGGATTGGGGGAAGTTTTGAAAATTCGTACTAAATGGTACCAAATTTAGGTTTGGGTGAACCAATAGAGCTCGAATTTTGAAATTACGATTACTGTTGGAGTTTATTATTGGGGTATGTTGTTTTGGAAATTCATATCAATTTTTCCAAATTTTCTAGATATTCTTAGAACTGCTATTTAGATGATAATCGATCAATATTCCGAGGGCGAAATCAACCAAAACCTAAAGTGAAAAAATGGAGTAAATATTCGTAATGGGGTAAATCCTCGGGAAAACAAGATTTGGAAAATATGCCAGGATTAGAAAGTAGAGCTATTGACCTATAATTGATCAATAGGGTGCAAATATCCCGAAATATTGCCCAGGCTTAGAATAAAGAACCGCAGAATGTTAGATTCCCATGGTAGCTGTGTAGGGTGTCGTATTTATATTCCCGTCGGACTACACTGCTGCGCTTATGGTTTAAAAATGTTTGGTTTTCGAAAATAGAAAAATTTCACTGGAGACGATTTTACAAAAATTTCTGAGCAGCGTTGATGAAGATCCTCAGATAGGATGCTTTCATCATTCCACTGGAAAATATTTTTCACTGAGTTAATATCAAGGAGTAGTATTCTATACCAAAATTTCATTTCATTGAAAATACTGATTTTGTTCCGGCGAAGACGATGCTTTGGGATTACCTGTTTCCCCACAATTGATTTAATGCCATAGTAATAGACGGTCGCTGTCGTCAATTTGCTATCGATGAGATGGCCAGATGAATTTTATGGCCAAGTCATATTGTTTAATTCTTCATTTTCTAAATACTATGTAATTTGGAAACCCCAGGGTGAATGAGTCAGTAATAAATTCCATAAATTCCAATAAATTCCAGGGTGAATGAGTCAGTAATAAATTACAAATAGTTTCCTAGACTTCTATGAGAATTTTTCAGATTGGGCGCCAAAGTTTTTAATCTCAAATTTTTGCTTAAGGCACAACAGCATAGATTTTTTAAATAATATTTTTTCTATGACCAATAAGGCGTATAATTTTTAAAGAATATTTAATGCCTGCCTCCTTCATCACAAAAAGCTTAATACAAAGTCCAGTTGCGTGGCAACACTGTCCCTTTAGCCATACGCCACCGTGAGTATGAGTGTTGATGTATACAAAACAAGTGCTGCTGTGCCGCTCTTTACCAAATAAATAAACCAAAAATTTAATGTTCTTCTTCTTCTTGGGGCAAACATATTTAAATTAACATAAAAAAAATCCAACAAATAACGGTATAAGTTGTATAAAAAGAAATTTAAAAAGTGATTTATTATAAAAATTAAAAATACAAACAAAGAAAAGTTCTATCACTCTCCCTCTCTTTCTCTCGCTCAGTTGTGCAAAAATGTGACGTACATTTTTCGAGAAGAAAGAATTTGTGTTTTTGCAAATGCAAGAAAATTCAAGAGAGGACAAAAAATTGCCAAATATGCTTAATGTGTTTTGTTTTTGTGTGTTATTACCACCGTTATAATAATATAAAAATGTCTCTTTCTCTTTTCTCCCCGTTTTTTTCTTGCTCTCTCTATCTCTCTGTATTATCCTTAATCTCTTGTGCTCACTCACCACATCGAATGTGGCTAAAACAAAATCGTGTGCCGTTTTTCTTTTTTGGTTGAATAAAAAAATCTATTGTCACTTTGCCCCCATCATACCATCGTGTGTGTTTATCGTCGTGCATTTTCGTTTATGTTGTCATGTGTTACGACGACAACAACAAAATCGTGGTTTTTGTTTATTTTTCATAAATTACTTCCTACTCCTGTTTTTTCGGTTATTGTTGCCTGTAACGAAAAAAACAACCTCTGCGCCCGCTGCTCTGCTCCTACAACAACAATAATAATGGCCACAAACACCAACAAATGCCGTCTCAATGGGCCTTTTCTAACCAAACAACAACATATTCCACAACACCAACAACAATCCAGACGTTGGAAAGGTGGCAGCATTGAACCCCATCCAACGGACAAAGCTTTGATTGTTAATTATCAGCTGGAGGCCACAGTCTTTGGTGATCCCAATAATCCAATGCTGGAAGAGAAGAAGGTAAGTTTGGAATGAAGTCTTTATATTTTTTCTACATCTACATTTTCCTTTAATGTCACACAAAAACAAAGTTTGGGGAAAAAAAAAGAAAACCAAACTCATTCTCAATTATCCTTTGGCCCGTGGCAGGTCTGTATGTTCGCTTTTGATATGGGGGTTGTTTTATATATTCCATTTATTTTTATAGTCCTTTTTCTTGGCCAGCCAGGAGCCTGTCATACACATTCCACCCTCAATTTACTCACCCTCCTCTATGGGCTTTCGGTTTTTTTGTTTTTGCTCCACAAATGCCTTTGGTTGTTATTTTGTACTGACGCACTGTCGGAATGACTAATGGCCACTGCTTGAAATTTTAATGTTGTTTTTTGTTTTTGTTATTAATGCGGACCTCCCTTTTCAGTCAACATTTCTTCTCGTTCTTTGTTGAAGAAGAAAAAACAAATAATACTTTATTTTTGAAAATGATTCGTCATTTTAATGATATTGCCAGACGAGACCACTCAAAACAATTTTTTTTTCAAATTTGCCTCATTGAAATTTACATTTTTCCCTTTCATTTTCTGTTTCGCCACTTCTCTTGTGGGATGAAAGATAATTGATTTAACGCCATCGTAGCAGACGGGCTTTGTCGTCAATTTGCCATCGATGAGATGGCCAGATGGATTTTATGGCCAGTCATATTGTTTAATTCTTCAACTTCTGAATCCTGTGTAATTTGGAAACCCTTCTCCATCTCATGCAGGATGATTACAGATTACAAACAGTTTCCTAGACTTCTATGAGAATATTTCGGACACGTGGCAACCTTTTCAAGGTTATTAGACTAGTTGGGCGCCAACGATTTCAATCTTGCCACAGGCACATTGATATTGAAAAATAACTTATTCCCGGTGCTGAATGTACCGAATCCGGATTATGACGTGGCAACCTTTTCAAGGTTATTGGTCTAGTTGGGCGCCATTCAGAATATACCGAAACGGGATTATCATTCCGGACCTCTGTTTGGACAAAATGTCCTATTTTTTAAGTTACCATAGGCCGTGGATTTTTTAAAGAATATTTTTTTCAAGCTGCCTACGTGTGGACATCCGACATTATTTGTTGTCGTGGGTGCCAATATGTTATTAACCTACTTACAAAGTGGTTAAGCGACTTAATTCCCATCAGAGTTCTACGGTTTGCAGTCAGGGTCCCGATTGTATTAGAACGGAGCCTTGATGATACCTGGGCACCACAACAAGTTCTTCAGCCTTACTAAATCCTCACTAAATCCTTATTTTATGGAGCCGAATTTTACTTATGTGATTATAAACGAATTTTTGGACTGATGATGGTGTGGCTGCCTTGGCAATCTCAGTCTCGAACTTTACAAGATCAGAACTAACTCAACCAATACACATGATAACGAACCATGCTATTCCACCGGACCATTCTTAAGCCCCAAACACATCTTCCTGAACTTTATAGACGAAATCGGCTACTTCCGCCTTAGCCAGAAGAGAATCCCGAATCAACTCTGGGACGACTCACCCTTGACAGACGAGGAATGCGTCATGGATATCACGGCCTTTAGGACTACGGTGAATCCTCCAAATCAAGATGAGTCCTCGGTGACTCCTCCAAAACAAGGTGAGTACTCTCAGATGAAAGTAGGAACGCAACCATGGCGAGGAAGAGTATCTAAACTTCATCTCCACGGCCTGTAGTGAAGTCTCGAGAATAATCGGACCCGGGAACCACTAAACTATCCAGCCCAAATGAGATCTCTAATAAGAAGATTTACCGGAGAGCGGTTAATTACTGCAACCGGTTTATCGGACGGGACAGACGTTCCGGAAGTTCTCCAGGAACTATCCGAACGATATTGCGAGGGACTTCCTAATTGATAGAATTCCAGCTTCGTGTTCGAAGTCTACCACGGGCCACCACGTCCTTTTAGACAAAATTGGCTCCTTCCGCCTTAGCCAGGAGAGAATCCCGAATCAACTCTAGGACGACGACCCTTGACATTCATTTGCCCCAAACACATCCTCCTCAACCTTATAGACGAAATCGCCTCCTTCCGCCTTAGCCAGGAGAGAATCCCGAATCAACTCTCGGACGACTCACCTTTGACAGACGAGGATGGCGTCATGGATACTATGGCCTTTAGCACTACGGTGACTCCTTCAAATCATGGTGAGTCCACTCAGATGCTAAGTAGGAACTACTGCAACCGGTTTATTGGACGGGACAGAATTTCCGCAAGTTCACCACGGCCCTAACACCACTAGGACGATGGTGACCAGGACTTCTGAGCTTTCAGCTCCCCCCAAGGGAAACTTGAGAGCTGAGGAATCCCCGACATCATCATCCAAAGCAAGGGACGGTCGAAATTAGCCCGACGGAGAGCCCGTAAATATGCCTCCAGGAAAGCTGAGCTGTAATGTCGAAACCGAAACCCAAGGTTATGACAATTGGGTGGATAAACCAAAGGTGGTGAACACGAAGCAGGTGCTCGCGACAGCTGGTTCAACTCTGTGGATGCTTCAACTCCGGGAGCCAAAACTTGAACACAGTTCACGGCTGTAAAGAGAATGAGGTCCTCGAAAGAGCAACAACCTGCAGCTAAGAGACTCACGCAATTGTTGAATGCACGAAGCTCTACTTCGTACATGTCGGGAGTGTCGATGGAGTGCATGTTTTGGTGCAGTCACATCCGTTTACAAGGCTTAAGAATAAACCTGGATATAGCAAAAATCATGAAAAAACAAAATGTAAATCCTCAAGTGAAGTCTTTGGCTGTAATGAGCTATAAGACGGAATATTTTGTTAAATTATGCCGACACCCGACCCTGTTTGAGGATTTCGACAAAATATATTCCTTAGGTTGGCACTGGCGCCCAACGTATGTAACATAAAAATGAAATCTATACCAAATCTATCAGTATAAAATGAAATGTGATATTGCATTCTAGAATAGACTGCTTCCGATGACAGATCATAAAAATTGCCGATCCCTTAACCTTGTTTGATGTAGTCGAAAAAAATTTTTGAGAATATGAAAAATTATATACTCTCAGTGTAGAATATACCAACATACGATCCAGTTTTAAGGCGATAAAAAAACCTGGCACCTTGTTGGGCGCCAATTTATTCTCAGTGTACATGACATACTAAAAATTGAGTTTTTCTTATCTTATTTTTTAATTTCGTTATTTATTTTCCATAATGCCATTATATAATGACAAATAAGACAATAGGAACGGCAAATATATGGATATAAATGTGCGCAAAAATAGAAGTGCTAAATAAACATTGACTTGTGTTAGCATAAGTTAGCACCTTCAGGCAATTTGTATTACTGCTGCCCCTCTATTGAAACAAATGCGAGTATATGGAGTGTATAGTTGACCAACCGACCGACGATCGTTCGTTCGTTAATTGGTTGTGGGCTATTGACTTTTAGAGGTCCATGCCCGTCAGCCCTGATACTCAGACTAACAGCAGTGTATTGTGTAAAGTAAATAACTGAGTTTCATGGAAATCCTCATCACGTTTTTTTCATCGAGACATATGCGATTTTTTTCTCGCTTATTCTATATAATGACAATGATGTTCGAAATTATGTAGTGTGTTATTTTTTTTTTAATTTTGGCATTAACTTTCCTTGATTATTGTAGCAGTAAAGCAAACAATTTGCGTTTGTTTGTTAATTAATTGTACAAATATGATAATGATGGCAAACAATATACATATCTATGAAATTCGCTAATTAATAATTTTTATGTTGGGAGATGTAAACGACAGTAGTTTTACAGGGCTAATAGAGATTAGAGGGTTTTCACAAGGAAAAAATAGGAATATTTTTGTATTTTTGAGGCTTCCATCAACCCCTCCAGATGAAATCCATGCGAAATCTTCCGACATTCTAATAAGCAACCTCGACATATATAGGAATAAAATAGGAATGTCGGGAGATAGCATTACGCAGCGGAATATGGCAACACTAATTATGCAAGGGCCCCAACCATTGTAAATATTTAAATAGAATTCCTTTTAGGCACTCCAAATGAAATACATTCGAAGCCTCCTGTCATCAACCTCGGCATCAACACCATATACGAATATAGGAATGACGGGAGATATCACCACGCAGAGGACTAGTTGAGTCGATCTAGACATGTGTGTCCGTCCGTCTGTCCATTATAATTTGTAAACCCGATACAGGCCACAGTTATGGACCAATCTTCACGAAATTTTGCATGTAGGATGGGTTCTGGCCAATGAAGACCCCTATTGTTTTTGGTAAAGATCGGTTAATAACTAGGGGGTGAAATGGACCAAATACATAATTTTTATCGGTTTTTCTGGTGGCTCCAGAGGCCGCAATTATGGCCGAACATCGTGAAATTTTACATGGAGAAGGGGATCGGGCCAAGGAATAAGCATGCCTGTTTTGATAAAGATCGGTCAATATTATTATCAAATGGACCCTGACTTTTGTGTGATAAATTACAAAATTTGGATTCTATGGCGTATATATTTACTCCTAAAGAACATAGACCCGACAAGTTGATGGTATATCCAAGAGGAGTGGCTGGCCTTTAAATTCATACCAATTTTATTGTCGTATGTTCTCAGATGTGGGAGTTACACTTAAATATTTACAGGTGCTTACGTATTCAGATATTATTTAGTAACCCATTACCATACTAGAGGGCGGAAATATAACGATATGGCCAAGGACAGCGCTTATAATTTTCGGTGATGATCAGATCATAATTTTGGGATGAAGTGGACCGAAAACTTAATTTTTTGCAATTTTTCGAATCGATCTATAGGCCACAGTTATAAGCTGATCATTACCATACAACCCAGCTGAAGTCAACCTGGACAAGTTATAAGAAGGGCTGTACTGAATATTAGTAATATTCGGAAAATATGTCAGTGTATGGAAGATGTGCTGTTGACCTCTAATCGGTCAAGAGGGTTCAAATGTCACGAAATATTTCCCAGGC